GTATATATTCTGAACTGGCCGAGATACGCAGATGTTGGATAAACTATTAATGTGTCCAACAGGACTTAACAAGTGTATGACCGCATGTGTGTGTGTGTGTGTGTGTGTGTGTGTGTGTGTGTATGTGTGAGTGTTTATGTGTGTATTTGTGTGTGTGTGTGTGAATATGATTTTGTATGTGTATGTTCAGATATGTTAGTGTGTGTATTAGTGGGCACTGTGTCACGAGAGGCTACTCAGCTAGTGATCTAACTAGTGGATGATCGTGGTGCTAGTGTCTGATGCTAGTCACTAGTAGAGAGAAAGTTTAACTCGACACAACTACGAGAGAGAAACAAATATGTCACTTTATGGAGACAACTCTATAACTAGGTAACGGCCGGGGCAGACTTGCCAGACAGGATATGTATTTGAATATATATGTACACATACATTAATACATATATACAACAACACAAATATATATATATATATATATATATATATATATATATATATATATATATATATATATATATATATATATATATATATATATATATATATATATATATATAATGTGTGTGTTTCGTTTGTGCAAGAAACCACAGGAAAACTGATAATTTTTTAACACTTGCATGAATGATCATGAAACCTTCATAAATAAAAAAGTTTATTATTTATGACAACTAATGCAGTAAAAATCAGGTTATGATTTTCAGATTTTCGCTCATTGTTTATATTGGTTTATGTAAATATATACTGACGCAATATTGTGTCTTTGTATGTAATACAAGTTACGTTCACTGTTAGATAGTAAGCGGTGATGTGATTTACTTCATCAGTAACCCATTAATAAAGGTAATCCGGAAGTTGGTTTGTTGCTCATGTCGACCCGCAGTGGCCTGACTGTCGCCTTATTATTAATATTATTATTCAGTAAGTAATTAACTACCCAGTAAATCTCTTGTATATTGTCTTATGCTCTGTTGGACAATACTAAAGTGCTCCGCCTAATTTTCAGTTTCCCTGCAGTTTTGTTGCATTTATACATATTACACTTATTTCATATATATATATATATATATATATATATATATATATATATATATATATATATATATATATATATATATATATATATATATATATGTGTATATCACGAAAATAAACACGTGATTAAGAATGTGACAATGTCAGACCACGGAGGAAAAATGAAACAGGAAATTTCCTTAAGTACTTTCGTATATTAAACCTTCACCTTCTGAAGATGTATTTAATATACGAAAGTACTTAAGGAAATTTCCTGTTTCATTTTTCCTCCGTGGTCTGACATTGTCATATATATATATATATATATATATACATAATATGTATGTATGTATTTTCGCAATAATTGGCGGTAAATTAAGATGTGAGAAGCCAAGCATGATGTTTAATATTATAGGGCTTAAACTTGTCTTGATGGTAGTGCAGTTACTGGCAGTGTCTGGGCCCCCGGCGGTGCCTGGGCCCACACGGTAAGCAGGGTGATGACCTTCTATATGTCCTAATCATTCCTGTTAGGTTGCTGAGGCATGAACGTTGCAACAAAATTCCTATTACGGCTACATACATGTGAAGTAAAAAGTCAGCTTTTTGGTGGTAAGGAGCGAGGCTTGAGTGTAGGGGTTGGTGAGTGGTGGTGAGTGAGTGACGCCTGGCCTCCAGAGACACGCCCAGGAGTCCCGGAGTAATACAGAGATGAAGGTAGACAGTATTTGGAGATGACGTTTTTGGCTATCAGGGCTTTGTTAAAGTGAGTGTCCTGGGAGATTGTGGACGTCAATTGATGAATGATGAATCTGCACGCAACCATCCTGTGTATTTCGGATCAATTTGATGAAACCATTACAGGCAAACCGTCATCTACAAATCAAGTCTAATCTCACCTCAAAACTTTCTACAGATAAACATCAATACTTTGTTGTTTCTTCGAATTCTTTCGAAAATTTGTTCTGGTATAACACAGTCTTAGCTGCACATGATGTGTGGTCACTACTAACTGTCCTGGATACAAACTGTCGGTGTATCAGTATGTGGTGGTGACCTCTCTTGAGGCTTCCACGCACTCAAACGAGGCATCTGGAATTGATTTTGCTGCTGTAGTCTGTTGTGTTTCTAGCGTAATTGAAGACTTGTGTTGTTATTGTGTCATGACGAGACTAATACGATCTAAGGGAATGCCTCTGTTACATTCTGGCGTCGTTTACAGATGGGACACAACTTTTCTATTGTAGCATAGTGTACCTAAGTTGAAAGCAGTGTACCTGTGTGATATGGGGGTACATGAGGTGTACTGTACACATGTAATACTAGGGTACATGTGACACAGTATCCACATGTTATATTGGAGATATGTGATGTACATCAATGGAGAAGTGAACACATACAACTTATGTCACAACGAAGCTACTTACGGTGCTAGGACAACATCACCTTATGGGATACATATCAACAAAGAGAGAAAAGAGGGAGGACAGGAGTCAGACAAATCCCTCCATAGAGAGTGGTGACGACACGGATAGCCGAATGGGGATGTACATGGTATTTTCTCACCGGCCATTACAACAGCAGAGTCGTTACAGTTTTTGTAATTAAACGTGTCTCTCAACTTTGTCTCAGTGGTGTGACCTGGTGACTGATATCCCAGACTGGTCTCCCAGACCTCGTAGTGTGACCTGGTGACTGATATCCCAGGCTGGTCTCCCAGACCTTGTGGCGTGACCTGGTGACCAATTTCACCGGCGGGTCTCCCAGGAATCATCACCAGGAACACGTGGACAAAGATCACGCCTGGTTACTATCAACCAAAGATCTTGAAATAGTTGCTGATAGCTATGGAGAAGACTAAGCTATTCATCCGTAAACATTTGAAAAAAAATATACAAACTAACTATCAATATTTTAATATTATTATTGTATGGTCATTTCTGTAAGTCACCGCATTCGGTAACTCCCATCTGAGGCACAAGAAACGCTACCTTCAGAAAGCTTTCTTGCAATATCTCTTAAATTTCTCTGTAAACAAGAAACATTAATTTTCAACATTTTAAGAATTCTTTTACTTAAAAATAAATACTATCAACATTTAAATGAGCACTGTATATATTTGTTATCTAATGCCTATACACACATTTTTAATAATGAAGGTTACAGCTAAATATGACGTCATAAATGTATTAACCCGTCTGAGTGATTGTTAAGGGGATAAACCAATCCTGAAAACATTATAGAATCTCTACCTGCTATGAATGGAATGGACGAAACATGGATTCTTGTATGCTAAAAAAGTTCACGTTTTGTTCAATTGAAGTACTATAGAGCGTGTGAATATGTGGAGTAGAGAAACCATATTTCTAACCTAACCTGCTTTGAGCCTAAATAAAGCAATTCTAGCATATACAGTCCTGGACCTAATTTAACACATACAGGTATATGTACTATACTAGGCCTAGGAAAAGTTAGATTTGGATATTTTGCAATCTTATCCAGACCCTCTACAAAATAAATACAAAAAGTGGATTTTTTTGTTCAACAGTCTCAATGTTGTCCTGCCATCTATAGTAACTATAGGTCCTGCCATCTATAGTAACTATAGGGCTTGCCATCTATAGTAACTATATAATATATTATTTTTGGTGGACCAGGTAGACGTTTTGCAGCATGTAGATAAACAAATTATGTTGGATCTCATGATTAGTATTAAAGGGAAAATTACCTTATGATTAGCACTGAAAGGTTTGTTTCCGTTTCCAACTGATTGGTACAAAATGCCATAGTACTTGGCTCATGAATCTGTATCAATTTATTGTGTATTAGTGAACGTCGGTAGCTTATTAGTTACATTTTTTATGACGTAGTATTTGACTGCAGACCTGACACAAACACAATCTGATTTATGGGAAATAAACTTTTGCAACCTAGCAGCCAGGATAAGACTTGTAAGACTCTTTTTTGAGTCTTACGAGACTTTGTAAGACTTGTTGCTTTCCGTAAGGTCGAGGGGGGAGAGAGAAAGATGAGGAGGAACCCTTGCAGGTAAAGGCTACTTTAACCATCTTTCCTCTACAACCATACGGATGTCCAATGATGCAGAAGAAAAAGGGAAACGAACAGGGGAAGAGAAAATATCTAAGCACAATTATTTCTGAGCATAAAACTTTTGCGAGACAACAAAGTTTAGGACCATTTATCATAACAGTTTCTACAGTATTAGGGACCTGCTTCACCGACCTCAGCAATGTGAGTGTAACTATTGTATTACACCTCTCCTCCACACGTGTGACGAGGCTGTTACTTCAGCTGCGTGATGTCACTGTCACTCCACACGTGTGACGAGGCTGTTACTTCAGCTGCGTGATGTCACTGTCACTCCACACGTGTGACGAGGCTGTTACTACAGCTACGTGATGTCACTGTCACTCCACACGTGTGACGAGGCTGTTACTACAGCTGCGAGATGTCACTGTCACTCCACACGTGTGACGAGGCTGTTACTACAGCTGCGTGATGTCACTGTCACTCCACACGTGTGACGAGGCTGTTACTACAGCTGCGAGATGTCACTGTCACTCCACACGTGTGGCGAAGCTGTTACTACAGCTGCGAGACCTCACTATCCCCCTCACACGTGTGAGACGAAGTGACTTCCCGACCTAGAGACGTCACAATAGCCTCACTGATCATTAGTGTTCCACACACGGACAATATATTTTTAAACTTAAACTGATAATTTGTGTTTACTCTGTTTTTCGTTTGTTCCTCAGTAGTGTACGACCGGCGCAGCTTACCCAGCAACGTGCCCAGCAGCGTGCCCAGCAGCGTGCCCAGCAACGTGCCCAGCAACGTGCCCAGCAGCGTGCCCAGCAGCGTGCCCAGCAGCGTGCCCAGCAACGTGCTCAGCAGCGTGCCCAGCAGCGTGCTCAGCAACGTGCCCAGCAGCGTGCCCAGCAGCGTGCTCAGCAACGTGCCCAGCAGCGTTCCCAGCAGCGTGCCCAGCAGCGTGCCCAGCAGCGTGCCCAGCAACGTGCCCAGCAACGTGCCCAGCAGCGTGCCCAGCAACGTGCTCAGCAACGTGCCCAGCAGCGTGCCCAGCAGCGTGCCCAGCAGCATGCCCAGCCATGTTACTGTGTTTCCTGTATTTTCTCAAATGTGTTTCCTTATTATTCTCCTGCGCAATATCCACATGTGTGTATGTATATAATTTACAAATACGCATTCATTGTATCTATGAAGATGTGAGTGGATATGAGTCCCACACGTGCATGGGCATCATCATTGCAGGTGTGTCGTGCCTTCATACTCACAGGTGTATATCCACAAGTACGTGCTGGCGTCATCCTTAAAGGTATGTGTTGACGTCATTCTAACAGGTGTAGCTTGAAGTCACCCTCACAGGAGTGTGCCGGATTGTAAAGCTATTAACTGAGGTTCACGAATAAGCAGCTTTCTCTGCATGCCTACAGTGCTTGCCTTCCCTGGCATTTTCATCTTACTAACGACTTGGTGTCAAGCCCGGCATGAAGAGCTAACCTTAAAGTCTCACCACGTCAGAAGTTCACTAATACTCTTGTCATATAATTTAATCATAGGGCTTCCCTCTCAAGGTAACACGCCATGAAACGTTTTGTGCGTCCGTCTGAATCTTCCCTTCTTACAACGTTTAGCGCTTTTAATCACTGAAACGTCTACAGTCGTGTATTCCATGCATCTGCACAGCGTACGAACCACAACACAACCTCACACACTTGTTTACTTAATTCTTTATGATCTTATTTGGCTGTGAGAGGGGCCCTCCCAGCGTGTTCCGCAACGATGACTTCTCGCACCTTCATGATACGGTAAACGTAAATTATTACCAAATATTGTTATGGCATAAATTAAATGTTAGAGTAGACGAGGGAGAGGAAACAGATGAGCGAGCCTGGGATGCTGATGGTGGCACCTGTGTTCAGGGCTTTCTGCATCTCGCTCTCGCAGATGCCACCACCTGTGGGGAAGGAGGAGAGGTGTGAGATGCTGTTGAGCAGACTGCCGGTGTTAGACATCTAAATTAGTCACATTAACTTCTGGTATTATCACTTTGCCTTCCCTGTATTGTCACATTGCTCTCTATTATACAAATTACTTCCTATCTTACACCGACCCACCTTGCTTCTCCCTTAGGATGGGCATCAGATCGTTCCAGAATGCGCAGCCGGTGGCCCTGGGACCCTTACCAATCCCTCGGGAGACAGCGTTCCACTCGAAGTATAGCGGTTGTTCCCTTGTGTAGAGCGGCCACTCCACGCTGGGGTCCACGGGGCGCCTGCGGGGATGGCGGTAATATTACCCAGATTGTATGTTTCTCTGCAATTTACTTAAAAAAACGTAATGCATATGAAGATTATCACTTGCTTTTAAAATGCAGGTCTATACTATGAGATGTATGCATACTTCTCTTATCCTATCCCCTGTCTCCCGCCCCTGTTTCCCTCCCCTGTCTCCCGCCCCTGTCTCTCGCCCCTGTCTCCCTCCCCTGTCTCCCTCCCCTGTCTCTCGCCCCTGTCTCCCTCCCCTGTCACCCTCCCCTGTTTGTCTCTCTCTCTCCTGACTTGAATGCCCTCTCCTGTCTTACTGACTCCCACCTGTCCTCCAGCCTCTGTCCACTCCTACCCTGTGGCGGCGAATGTCTTGTAGTATCCCATAATGCGACGAGAGAGGTCTTCTTCGACGTCAGAGTAGCCCAGGGACCTGTTGAGAGGCAGGCCGAAGACGTAGTCGATCTCGTCGGCGTGCAGGACGCCCATCCACGAGCCCCAAGGGTTGACCGTCGTCCGCTGAGCATACAAGGACAAGTACGGCTCGGGTTAGTACCTGCGGTGTGCTGGTTAGGTCACCACTTCTCGCTTCTTACAAATAGGAGCATAAATGATCAGGGAATAGGGTAATTAACACTGTGATTTGCAAATACATTAATAACTAATGCCGGTTAAATCCATTTAACAACGGTTTGAGGCCGCTTGTTAGCATTCATGCAATACGGTCATCAACACAATTCACAGATACCTATGGTTAGCTATTCTGAGAGAGGAAAAGGCTAAACACTTGATAAAGCAGGAGAATATAGATAATTCTGGTGATTATACACAAGAACCGAGAGAGAGGAGAAGTAAAAATCTGAAAGATAACTGACGGAAGCTGTTTAAGTACCTGTGTGGAACCAATTAATAAAAGAGAAACAACATGTGTGATTAATTAGCTGGAGCCACTCAGTTGAGCGGAGGAGAGAAAGGGAGCAAGAAGCATCTGAAATGATCGAATTGATTCAGTGAGTGCAGGTAAGGTAGTGGGAGATACACGTGCAATAAGCACGTGTATCTTATTATCTCACAGTAATAATTAATTACTGTGCCACAGGTGAAGGAATCGCCTGGAACATAATGTTGCCTTAAGACGAGAGCATTAAAAATGTTTTCTTTTATGGGTAAAAGCTATTAATTAAATTGAAAAATTGTGACTTTTAATATAAATAATAATACTGCAAATAATTGCAAACAGGAAATTAAACTCGGGGATCAACATACGACAAGCACAAAGCCCATTACGGACGCAACTCACGGACATTGTTGTGTGTTATAGCTAACATTATATTAGTCCACTACTACGGTATATCACGGACACCAACACGTACGGTACAACACGCACGGTACATCACGGACACCAACACGTACGGTACATCACGGACACCAACACGCACGGTACATCACGAACACCAACACGTACGGTACATCACGGACACCAACACGTACGGTACATCACGGACACCAACACGTACGGTACATCACGGACACCTACACAAACGGTACATCACGGACACCAACACGTACGGTACATCACGGACACCTACACGCACGGTACATCACGAACACCAACACGTACGGTACATCACGGACACCAACACGTACGGTACATCACGGACACCTACACGTACGGTACATCACGGACACCTACACGTACGGTACATCACGGACACCAACACGCACTGTACATCACGGACACCAACACGCACCGTACATCACGGACACCAACACGTATGGTACATCACGGACACCAACACAAACGGTACGTCACGGACACCAACACGTACGGTACATCACGGACACCAACACGTACGGCGCATCACGGACACCAACACGTACGGCGCATCACGGACACCAACACGTACGGTACATCACGGGCACCAACACGTACGGTACATCACGGACACCAACACGCACGGTACATCACGGACACCAACACGTACGGTACATCACGGACACCAACACGTACGGCGCATCACGGACACCAACACGTACGGTACATCACGGACACCAACACGTACGGTACATCACGGGCACCAACACGTACAGTACATCACGGACACCAACACGTACGGCGCATCACGGGCACCAACACGTACGGTACATCACGGACACCAACACGTACGGTACATCACGGACACCAACACGTACGGCGCATCACGGGCACAAACACGTACGGCGCATCACGGGCACCAACACGTACGGTACATCACGGACACCAACACGTACGGTACATCACGGACACCAACACGTACGGTACATCACGGGCACCAACACGTACGGCGCATCACGGACACCAACACGTACGGCGCATCACGGACACCAACACGTACGGTACATTACGGAGACCAACACGTACGGCGCATCACGGACACCAACACGTACGGTACATCACGGACACCAACACGTACGGTACATCACGGGCACCAACACGTACGGCGCATCACGGACACCAACACGTACGGCGCATCACGGACACCAACACGTACGGTACATCACGGGCACCAACACGTACGGCGCATCACGGGCACCAACACGTACGGCGCATCACGGGCACCAACACGTACGGTACATCACGGACACCAACACGTACGGTACATCACGGACACCAACACGTACGGCGCATCACGGACACCAACACGTACGGTACATCACGGACACCTACACGTACGTTACATCACGGACACCAACACGTACGGTACATCACGGACACCAACACGTACGGTACATCACGGACACCAACACATACGTTACATCACGGACACCAACACGTACGGCGCATCACGGACACCAACACGTACGGTACATTACGGAGACCAACACGTACGGCGCATCACGGACACCAACACGTACGGTACATCACGGACACCAACACGTACGTTACATCACGGACACCAACACGTACGGTACATCACAGACACCTACACGTACGGTACATCACGGACACCAACACGTACGTTACATCACGGACACCTACACGTACGGTACATCACGGACACCAACACGCACCGTACGTCAAGGACACCAACACGTACGGTACATCACGGACACCAACACGTACAGTACATCACGGACACCAACACGTACGGTACATCACGGGCACCAACACGTACGGCGCATCACGGACACCAACACGTACGGTACATCACGGACACCAACACGTACGGTACATCACGGACACCAACACGTACGGTACATCACGGACACCAACACGTACGGTACATCACGGACACCAACACGTACGTTACATCACGGACACCAACACGTACGGTACATCACAGACACCAACACGTACGGTACATCACGGGCACCAACACGTACGTACGGCACATCACGTACACCAACACGTACGTACGGTACATCACGGACACCAACACGTACGGTACATCACGGGCACCAACACGTACGGCGCATCACGGACACCAACACGTACGGTACATCACGGACACCAACACGTACGGTACATCACGGGCACCAACACGTACGGTACATCACGGACACCAACACATACGGTACATCACGGACACCAACACGTACGGTACATCACGGACACCAACACGTACGGTACATCACGGACTCCAACACGTACGGTACATCACGGACACCAACACGTACGGTACAAACGGACACCAACACGTACGGTACATCACGGACACCAACACGTACGTACGGCACATCACGGACACCAACACGTACGTACGGCACATCACGGACACCAACACGTACGTACAGTACATCACGGACACCAACACGTACGTACGGTACATCACAGACACCAACACGTACGTTACATCACGGACACCAACACGTACGTACGGCACATCACGGACACCAACACGTACGTACGGCACATCACGGACACCAACACGTACGTACGGTACATCACGGACACCAACACGTACTTACGGTACATCACGGACACCTACAAATACGATACATCGCGGACACCAACACGTACGGTAAATCACGGACAAGCTGCACGTACGTTAAATCACGGACACCTGTACATATGGTACATCACGGACACCTGCACGTATGGTACATCACGGACACCATCACGTACGGTACAAACGTACACCATCACGTACGGTACATCACGGACACCATCACGTACGGTACACCACGGACACATACACGTATGGTTCATCACGGACTCCAACACGTACGGTCCATCACGGACACCATCACGTACGGTACATCACGGACACCATCACGTACGGTACACCACGGACACCTACACGTATGGTACATCACGGACTCCAACACGTACACCATCACGTACGGTACAAACGGACACCATCACGTACGGTACATCACGGACACCATCACGTACGGTAATTCACGGACACCATCACGTACGGTACATCACGGACGGTACAAACGGACACCATCACGTACGGTACATCACGGACTCCAACACGTACGGTACATCACGGACTAGCCACTAGGTGCATTCGTCAGTAAGACTAGCCACCCAAAGTATTGACCAATGAGGATAGCCGACCACATCATTGATCAGAATGAGTAGCTACCCGCAGTATTGATCAGTAGGAGTGGTCACCCACTGTATTGATCAGTAGGAGTGGTCACCTACTGTATTGATCAGTAGGAGTGGTCACCCACAGTATTGATCAGTAAGAGTGGTCACCCTCAGTATTGATCAGTAAGAGTGGTCACCCACAGTATTGATCAGTAAGAGTGGTCACCCACAGTATTGATCAGTAAGAGTGGTCACCCACAGTATTGATCAGTAAGAGTGGCCACCCACAGTATTAATCAGTAAGAGTGGCCACCCACAGTATTGATCAGTAAGAGTGGCCACCCACAGTATTGATCAGTAAGAGTGGCCACCCACAGTATTGATCAGTAAGAGTGGTCACCCACAGTATTGATCAGTAAGAGTGGTCACCCACAGTATTGATCAGTAAGAGTGGTCACCCACAGTATTGATCAGTATGAGTGGTCACCCACAGTATTGATCAGTAAGAGTGGTCACCCACAGTATTGATCAGTAGGAGTGGTCACCCACAGTATTGATCAGTAAGAGTGGTCTCCCACAGTATTGATCAGTAAAAGTGGTCACCCACAGTATTGATCAGTAGGAGTGGTCACCCACAGTATTGATCAGTAAGAATGGTCACCCACAGTATTGATCAGTAGGAGTGGTCACCCACAGTATTGATCAGTAAGAGTGGTCACCCACAGTATTGATCAGTAGGAGTGGTCACCCACAGTATTGATCAGTAAGAGTGGTCACCCACAGTATTGATCAGTAAGAGTGGCCACCCACAGTATTGATCAGTAAGAGTGGCCACCCACAGTATTGATCAGTAAGAGTGGTCACCCACAGTATTGATCAGTAAGAGTGGTCACCCACAGTACTGATCAGTAAGAGTGGTCACCCACAGTATTGATCAGTAAGAGTGGTCACCCACAGTATTGATCAGTAAGAGTGGTCACCCACAGTATTGATCAGT